GTACACCCACTCCATAAGTTTGATATCCCTTCATTTGTAAGCCATTTCCTTAGTTTCCAAGTCAAGAATATCGATTTCTCTCTCAACTATCATTGAGCTTTCACCCCGATCTTCAAGAATGTAAGCCTTTCTTCCGTTGTGATTAGTTGTTATACTTCTTCTTCAAGTAACACCGTTTGATTTCATCCATGGAAATCATCTTTTGTCTACATCTTCAAATCTTCATCCATTTCACCAAGAACATACACTTGTTCTTGGTGATTGTGAACCCTTTCGAGCCTCCAAATTGTAAGTACTCCTTCCCTATGCTTAGTTCATGCTAGGATCGCTAGATTAACACCTTAAAACCAACCAAAACTCAAGATCATAAGGAGTGTACGGCCGTACACCCATGTGTGGCTGTACACCCCTCAAAACACCTTTAAAGGGCCTTCAAAATGCAAATCTTGCTTCAAGACTTGGTGAGCAATAGTTCCAAAAGCTTCCCCACCATTCAAACAAACTTTTGTGCACTTGTTACCATGAGTGTACGGCCGTACACTCCCTAACCATACACCCATGGCCGCACACTACATTTTGTGGCCGTACACTCCCTTTAGATGAATCACATGTGCTTCTAACACTTGTTCCAAGTGTTTCCAAGTCCCTAAAGGTGTTTCCTTGCATGTGATTGCTTCTAAACACTATATCCATGCAAATATATGCCATTACATGTCATTTAGGAGTCTTTTGTGTCTCAGGGCTTCACTATTGGAGCTTCTCATTCTTACGCGCATATTCGTTTGAATCACCCACATAAGGTGAGTTCATACCCCTATAATCAATCTTTTAACCTATTTTAAATGCTTTTAAGGGGGAATACAACTTGAACACAATGTTAATTGTGTAAATGTTTGTTATAAACATCTTTTAAAAGATTGCTTATGTCTTTTATAAGTGATCAAAACATTTCAAAAACTCTTTTTAAGTTATGTTACTTTATAGTTTATAAAACTCTGTTTTTAAAGTACAATCATAACATAGTAAATAAATGAGTCTTTCAGTAACAGTTCAACTAAACATACTAGTAAACTATAATAGGTATAGTTTAGGGGTTCAGTTCATACTAGATGCTGGAACATCCTATAAAGAGAATCAGGGAGGAAGATACAATACACGATAATAGAAAGAACATACTAAGATACTATAACAGAAAGAACATACTAAATGCTATAGCATATAACAACACAAGATCTAATTATACCAATAATCACTAACTCATTTTTCGAAACAAAAGGTGATAACATATTAGGTATATATGATCATATAACTTTAATGTGAGATTTACACGACTTAGCAATTCGTTTGCTGAAGTCGCGTTTGGTAACCAGAATCTCTTGCAGGGAGAGAGTATAATATGGGTACTACTCTTCACATTATGACCTTAATAAAACAAACTTGTTTTAAGGTAATCAGTACGTCAGGATGTCAATTCAAAAGACAACTGAGTACTTACATTTTCCCATTAGTTTCATATTGTGACAGTTCCACTTGACAGTTAATGCAAACTATTTTCGAGTTAAGATAGTTATAAACTAGGGAAAACTCACATCTTTTCAACGACAAATAGAACAGTCGCGTATACTACATTCAGTAGAAAGTGGCCTATAATGCTAACCTTATGATTCCTTAGCTTATACATCGGGAATATATACTAATCATATCTGACACGTAGTAGGATGTGTAATTTTCGCTTCATTTCCTGTTCCTTGTTTGGTTGTGGGATTAGAACAGATTCACCCAGGCTGCTATATATCCAATCTTATATATATATATATATATATATATATATATATATATATATATATATATATATATATATAAATATATATGTTCCATATACACCAAGTAATCATAAGGGGTACCAGGTATGGGCCAGGTCCTAGGATACACATTCAATACACTGTTTTCTAGTACAAAACATACTTTTCAAAGAGAATGTTTGGCAGACAAAACTAGAAACTTACCAGTAAGGGGTTTAATCCATTTTTTTAAACCATTATAACTTAAAGGACCTTAGGTCGTTGATACTATAATACCTTAGTTTATACATTAGGGTTATATATAATTAATACCCGATACGTAGTTGAATGTCTGCTTTCCACCTCATTTCATGTTCCTTGTTTTTTTGTGGGTTTAGGGCAGATTCACACAATTAACTATCTATTAGATGTTGGATTATATATAGTTAGTATAAACTAAGTGATTATAGAAGGAACCATTGTGATTACCATTTTTACTAAAAGAACTAAGGATTTTCTTAAAGAATATTTTCATGAAATATAAAGGAACTGTTGCAGTTAACTACGTGAGTACCAAGTGAATATACCAGGGTTATATACAACGAAGATCTAACAACCAATGGGATGTGTGCTCTCCGCCTCATTTCTTGTTCCTTGTTTGGTTGTGGGCTTATGGCGGATACACACAACCGATTGTTTGTTTACTCTGGGTTTTATATAACATGTATCCATTTAGTACTCATAGAAAGGATTGTAGAGTCATTTTACTTATCTTTCATCAAAGTAGGAAATATAGGATTTTCTGGAGGAAGAGGCGAACTTTTCTAAAAGAGCTTACAAGTTACTTACAACTTAATTACATCACTAAAATCTTATGAACTCACCAGCTTAAATGTTGATCCAACTCTTTCAAAATAACTCGTATTCTCAGGAGACCAGTAGAGAGGTACGCGCTCTCGGATTCAGAAGATGGAGCATAATAGCTTCGTGTCTTTTTGTTATTTACTTTGTAGTCTATGTTATGTGAACCACATACTTTGTAAACTCTTTCTTTCTAATGAAATGGTTGTTTATTACTTTGATTTCTATGATGCATGACTTGTGATACTAAACATGACGTCCTCTGCCCCGAACGTTTCCGATGTTCCGGTTTGGGAGTGTGACCATATATATATATATATATATATATATATATATATATATATATATATATATATATATATATATATATATATATATATATATATATATATATATATATTCTTGTTATGATAGTGCATCAAACATCAGAATGTTCATGAGCAATTATCCAACACACCTTGCTTTTAAGAAAAAAAAAATATTCGAATTAAATCACAAACAGAAAAGGGAATCTTGATTCTTTGTAAAGTTTAAATTTAGAAAGAACATTTATTCCAAATATACCCTACTGAACCCCAATACACCCGACTTATAGAACTGTAAATATAGAATACAGCGAGAGTAATTAACCAAATTTATGTTATATCAAAAAGTTATACTTTGATGAAAAGTAAATAAAAAACTAACTTTATATTTAAGTAAAAGACATGTGGATATCAGTTGAATAAGAAGTAAGAAAATTTACCGGGTGATCTTGAGGATTCAGACGATAAAGAATGTGCTTACCACAATTAAATAAAAAAAAAACAAATATAATGAAGATAAACTACCTGTAGCTACCTTAAGGTGTCTAGCCAATAAAAACTACATGTACGTACCAAAGGTCTTAGACGAGCGTGTTTTTAGGTATGATAGAAGGTTGCCAGCTGTCGCAGACTATGAAGCTGAACCCAATCGTGTATCCTTTATTCGTGTGGTCTATCTGCATAACATCATTGACTAGAAGATTTACTTCCAGTGTTATGTTAAAATTGCAGTAATTAAGGAATTAAAGACATTTGATTGTTGGTCAAAGGTTATAACTTTTCAGTTTTCAAGACTCCATCTTCTACAAAACCGCCAAAGACGATAACAATCACCAATCAAAAAACGTCAAATATATGATTCTACTTGAAGAACCTACTTCTCATAATAACTTAAGCATACAATTCAGATTGAGAAACATACATACATCGAATACTTTGTCAAAAAATCTGAAAATTAATTGAAATTTTAAAAAAAATTCAAAACGATAAGAGAAATAGGGGGCATGGGCATAATACCTCGTTAGTTTGTGAACCACATGCAATATATCCATGCAACAGATAAACCAACAAAATTCTGAGTAGACAAAAAATCAAAAAGAAATGAGAAAATTAAGCAGAAGAATATTATCATTAAGAGAATGTAGTAAATGTAATTGTACATACCTTCTCATTAGTATGGCCTTTAAAGGTTAAGGTGAAATCGGTGGTTGTGGTTGATAAACAACCAGAATTGGTGGCTTTATTGAGGTCCCAAAGCTTCAATGTGTTGTCTGTTGATGCGGAAATTAGGGTTCCAGGATCCATAAATTTTACAAAACTAGCAGCTCTGTCATGACCAGTCAAAGTACAAAAAGGGGTGGAAATATTCCTCAGATCATAACAGTAAGTCAGTAGACCCAAACACAGAAAATGACTGGAGTAAGGCGAAAATTGGACAGAACACACATTTGTTGCACTTCTGATTATGGTCAAGCTCTTCTTCTACATATATAACAAAAACAAGAATGGAAATAATAATAATAATAATAATAATAATAATAATAACAAATAAGAATCACATTAGACAGTTTCACATTATTTGAATAATATCTATTCTAACAACCACCCTTTTTTCATATATGATCTTAGGGTTTTATTATAGAAAACTACTACGTGTGTAGTTATTTGAAAGGAGTCAATGATTTGGTATTAAGTTTTTGCTTGAAGAGAAATGAGAAATCTTACATTTGATTTGAATGTGAACTGTACAATTTCGACAATTATGCTTGTAATCGGTAGAACCCTCATCTATACTTTTGAATTAACTATTTTATGTGCCTTGTTTTCTGAATATTAATTTTGGATCTTTTAACATTTTATCTCTTTCAGAAACTTCCCTCAAGAAAATTATATTTTTGGTGTTTTTAAAGTTTGAAGCTTTGGAAGCATGAAAATTATATTTTTTTTGCTCCTTTCCTATTTATTGCTAATTATAAAGGATGTCCCTGTGGAAAATTGGCCAAAATTTAACAGTCCTGAAGTGTTGGTGACTCAATAAGACCTCATTTTTTGTTGATGTTTAAAATATATTTTGAGTTTTGTCTTAAACAGATTGGTTCAAGATGTTGGGATGAGTGATGCAACTCAGTTGACTTGGTATTCACTTTTTGTTGAACATTTTGCTTTGAAGTTTGACCATCTTTACATCAATCTTGATTTTTTTTATGAAATTGTTGATCAGGGGACTTGTGAATGACATGTATAAGATGGATCTAATTCTGGTGCATTCACCAAATCTGATTGGATTAGCCTGTATTTATGTAGCCAGTATGCTCAAGGAGATAGAGAAGCGATGCTTGGTTTGAAGATCTAAGAGTTGACATGAATATGGTAATTGTTTTGAATTGTGAACATAATCGGAATCGGTTTTTTGAGTTCAGTAACATAAGAAAGAAGTTATTTGTCATCATTATGAGCAATGGTAGAAACAAATCTTTCATGCTTTAAAAAACCTACCTCTCGATTCATTTAATTTGTGTTAGGATTCGAATCGCATGCAAAAATTAGAGTTATTTTTATTCTCTTCTTTAAACGTACATATCCATTTAAAGCCCCAACACCAAGACCCTCCACCAATGTTTATCCTCCTATAAGAAGCTTACAACTGTGGACAAAAAAAAAAGATGAAGCATTGGAGTTATCTGAATTCTGACATACAAATTCAGATAAATGTATGTCTCTCATGCTATGTTTCTAATGAGTAAGGAGCAATACAGCTTTCTTATGAGACTTATATGCTATGTATGTGTGGCTTTTAACATACAAATTCAAATAAATTTATCTTCTCTCAATTATCTTTGCTCATGAACATGTATAGCTAATTTTGCAATTATGTTGAGACCTTAGAAATTTGATTCAGGTTCTTAACTTATTTATCCTCTCTAATCTCTCACTCATTAACAATGCTATGTAATTTGACTAATTTGAAATCTTTAATTAGAGGGGTGAAGCTAAATTATTGACAAAAGATTAGGAGGGAGCTATTGTTGCTGATATAAAATCTGTTGCAAAAATATCTCCTCGGGTTGGTTAATCTTTTTTTCTGTTTACTTTTTTACATAAAACTTATTTTATTCTTGTCATAGGTTTATACTTTATCAATTTTTCTGTTTAACTATAGTTGTTGTTTTTTTGTGTGTGTTTACAGAATTTGGTGTAGGATTCAAATAAGTCTGCTTCTCTGGTATCTGTCCCTACTTCTTGCTCTGTATGAGTGTTGTTTGTCTTATGTGTGCTCTCTATGTGTGCGTGAGCTATGTTCCAAAATCAAGAACAACTAATACTACAAAAAATATCAAGATAAAAATACTAAATTTTTGTTTGCTAACTCATACACTAATCTCCTCCCTTGGGTTCCAAATGTTAACATGACAGGTTGTAGTTTTGGTTTGTACCAAAGGCCATTGCTTTTTAGATCTCCTCACAAAGTCTAGGAGTTCAATGAAGGTATGTTGACTACATCTTTTTTATGACAATTTTGTCTTTTGGTTTAGTCTCTACTCCTGCGCCTCATGCGGTCTTGCCCCTCTCCGATAGTAAGTACCTCACAATTTTAGCTACTTTTTCTATCTCATAACGTACTTAATCTGCTCTCTAGATCTCTTTATCTCATTATTATGTGACTGGAGTGTAAAAATCATTTGCCTTTGTTACTGTGTCACCATGCCTCTCACACTGTAATTGTCGAATTTGTTAATAATTGTTTTATCTCAATTGAACAATGGATTTTAAAAAAAAAAAAAAAGAAATCTGATTGCTACTCTATGTTATCATTCATCAACCACAATCGATTTGTTTTATCATTAGCTAATTGTAATTTATTTGTTTTTAAAAAAATTCTAATTGATTATGTCCCAATTTTTAATTTCATGACTAGAGTAAAGTTAGTGAGAGTGGTTCATCCTGTAAGGTCACTGCCTCAAGTATTAGATAGTGCGCATGATGCACATGTATAGAATATAAATTACAAGTATCATCACTAATTTAATAAAAAAAAATGTATTTTAAATGATTTTTATTATAGTTAGGTGTTACTTTGGGGATAACAGTTCTCTTGCCAATGACATCCGAAAAGAAATGAAGGTATTAAATAGTAAATTGTTGAAAGCTAAAAATAAAAACACAAAGAGGAAAATCCATAAAAACATAGGATTCTTTCAAAAGAAGAAGGAAAAAGGCAACAACTTGTTGTGACAAATGTAATTAAAAATTCATTTGTCATCCTAGCAACTTTCACAGGTTCATCATCAAGATAATTAGATGGAATTTCATTTGATTTAGTTATTATTGATGAAGCTGCTTAGGCCTAGAGATTGCTTGTTGGATTGCTCTTTTCAAGGTAATAAAACAAAACTTTTTTTTTTTAAATTGGCAACATATTGCATGATTGAAGTAAAAAGGATTTTGTTTTTTTAGGGTTCAAGGTGCTTACTTTTAGGGGCTCATTTACAACTTCCTCTAACAATTCGAAGTGTTGAAGCTGAAAAAAAAGGATTAGGAAACACTCTTTTTAAACGTCTTGCAGATTTATATGGAGATGATGTCATGTCTATGCTGACTGTGCAATATAGCATGCATGAACTTATAATGACTTGGTCTTCTAAAGAGCTTTACAACAATAAGGTAATTTAATTCTGACCTTTTTTTATTAACCTTATTTATCTATTAATTATATTTGTTATAATAATAATGAGTAATGAAGTAATTAATAATGATAGACTAAAGCTCATGCAAGTGCTGTTGGACATACCCTATATGAGCTTGTAGGTGTTGAGAAGTCTTCTTCTTCCACTGAACCTACTCTTCTTCTCATAGACATTGCAGAGTATGCATATTTGATATTTGATCTAACCTTATAAATTTTATGAATTCTAAAAAAATAATTATATTTTTAGGTGAGATATGGAAGAAAAGAAGGATGAAGAAGAAATCATATTGAATGAAGGTGAAGCTGAGATTGATATAGCACATGCAAGAAGGTTGATTCAAAGTGGTGTACATGCTTCTGATATTGGAGTCATTACCCCTTACTCAGCACAAGTAATGTAGAATTTCGTTTTGGTTTAATGGAATTAAGGAATGGAATGGAATCGTTTATTCCATTGGAATGGAAATAACTTCTTAGATTGTGTTGCTAAGAGTGTTGAGAACAAAGGATGACAAGTTAAAGAAGTCTTTTATTGTTACACTTCAACTTGCATTAACAAATAGATATATGTTATTCCAAGGTTTTCAATAGTTCTTTTATATATATTATTATAATGTTCGGTTAAACTTTCTTATTTTATATTACTGAATTTGTTTATAACAATGGTTTTAGTTTTGAAATCACCATTAGAGTACAAGACTTTACCAGTTTGGTGTCACTTACGTTATTTGATAGTGACGCAAAGATACTTCTTGAAAAAATTACGCAAGAGTTGTTTTAAAATTTTAATGAGGTTATCGATATTAACTTCGTTTACATAAAACTATTTTTAAAATTTTTGTCTATTACTTTTATAACCGTTCATTTTTAGTATGATAATATGGACATTTATCCATCTGTTTTGAATGTACTTTTGGATAAAAAGTTGGCGTTTAAAATTCAAATTTTGAAGAACAAAGTTGATGGTTATAAAATCTCAAAGTTCACTACTGATAATAACCTCAAACGGACAACATATTAATTTATTTCTACATTAATGATGCTCTTTTTGTTTATTGTTTTTATGTCTTACAGTTCTCATCATTAGACTCTAAGATGATTATTGATAATAAAATCAAATGTACTATCTTACCACCATCGAGTCATTTGAGATTGTTACCGTCAACAACTACTTCAGTCAAGCAATTTATTGAGATTGTTACCACCACCGAATCATTTGAATGGTGTTGCTCCTCCTTCCTTGAAGATCCTAAAAATAAAAAGCTCGAATAAGTTTAAGTCATTCATAATTATTTGACATTTTAGTTTGAAGACTTTTTTTATTAGTTTTTATTGTTTGCTTATGGATTTGTTTGACAAGTAATTTGTTTTGATTTTGAAGTTTATGTTTGTTTTCATTTGTTTCACATAATTTTTTTTTTAATTATTAAGCAAAATCTATAGACGCTTTCATGTTTTTTTTATGTGTTTCCCTACGTTTAACGCGTGTTATAATCTAATATATATATATATATATATATATATATATATATATATATATATATATATATATATATATATATATATATATATATATACACACACACTATTAGAATATTTGGATTTAGCTACCAAAAATTTCCAACGATTTTGTTTTGTTGGAAATTTTCGTCTAATTTCCTACACCCTTACAAAACAAAAGTAGAATCTAACAAAAATCCAACAAAACCCCTACGGAATTAGATACTATACAGAGTCCGTTAGAAACCCGTTGGAAGTTTCCTACAAAATACCAACGAACAATTAATTAATATTTAAAATTAAAAACTTTGTTGGAACTTGGTAGGAAATATAACAGCACGAATGAAAGTTTTTTCCCATCTTTTCTTTTTGATTTTCCCTCTTTGTTTTGCCTTCCCTTCTTTTTTTAATATTATCATTTTAATAAATATAATAATTAAAAATTCATATTATTATTAATATAAATATAATTTTTATTATTTTATTTTGTTATTAATGTAAATATAACAAATAATATTATTATTTTTTATTGTTATTGTTATTATTTTCTTATCAAATTTATTTTTATTAATATTTTTAATATATAACTATATTGTTTTATTAAAATTAGGCTTACTATAATTATATTATTATTTTCATTGTTATTAATATTAGGTTTACCATATGTATAACTAATTAACTAGACATACGATATATGTACACATGCTAATAATAAAAAATATAAAAAATAATCAAGTTATTAATAGTTATAAATTTATATAGTAATAATTATAATAATAAAACTATTAATAATAAATCTAATAATCATATTTATGTCACCATATAGTATAATATTATATATATATATATATATATATATATATATATATATATATATATATATATATATATATATATATATATATGGAAAAGTGAATATACCCTTAAGAGTATATAAAATTAGGTACCCAAACACACTATAATATGTCGTTTAATTTCATATATTCATTATAATGTTCTTAAATTCGAACCCTTAACTTGATTTACTTTCAAGTTTTTTGAAATTTCACTATTATCTCTCTCTTATATCATATATTTTTTCCGAACATCTATTAGACTATATATATTGTAGTTAAAAATGAAAAGTATATAAGATGATCATAATTGGGTAATTATAAAAATAATGGAAATAAATCAAGTTAGAACTTAACTTTTAATAACATTGGACAATCAGAATGTATTATATATATATATATATATATATATATATATATATATATATATATATATATATATATATATATATATATATATATATATATATATATATATATATATATATCATTATTTGTTAATGTGATTGAATTAGAGTCTCACATAATTTCAACTCGTTAATTTGTTTAGATATATGATTCACTTTTATTTCATATTCAATTTGATACCGATACTTAATTATATTATATTTACAAATATAATTAGTACCAAAATTCTAAATTATTAAAACAAAAATACTAGTTTGATAAAAGTATAAAATAAAACAAATACAAAACACAATAATTTATTGCATGTAAATCTTTAAATAATGTCGGTAAAATGAAGACGGTGAAAAGAAAATTGACAGACTTTTGAGTAAGCGTGGGTTTTTTTTCATACGAGCTTATCGTCCAAATAAGAGGACCTTTTTTTATCTCCTTTCTTAATGGTTATGTTTCTAACAAAAAAACAGATTTATATTTATATTTTTATTTTGGGGAATTTACTTATCAAGTTAATTATCATTTTTGTTTGATCGTAACTAGTTTTTTTACATATATAGGTAAAAAAATTGTTGAAAATGTTTACATATGACCATTATAACCGGTTGTAACAGGTTATATCCGGTTATAATGATTATATGTGAACACTTTAAACAAATTCGTTACCTAAATATATACAAAAAAAAGTTACTGAAATATGAACAAAACGAAAAGGTAACAACTGATAGGCATGTCAAACCCAATAAATATTAGGGATATAATATACTCTAGATAAAACTAAAAATTTTGTCCTTGTGGTATTAGCTTTTCAACTTGCATGGAATGTCAAAAATCAAAATCTTTCTGTGTTTTTGGTCCAAAAAAACTTAAAAAGACCATTATCCCCTTTTAATTTTATTTTTGGATTTTTTTTATTCTTCTTTGATTTGTTTCCTTAGTATTTGGAGAATTTTTTAAATATAAGGAAAAAAAAGTGGCCCTCTCTCTCTCTCTCTCTCATAAAAAAAAGGTCGGCTTCATCACATCCATTCCCGTCATGAAGCCCTAAATCCTAATGGATTCAATAATCAAAAACTTCATCCGAGCAAATCCTACATTCGACATTTCTTCATCTTCATCACCTCCATATCTCGATGTTTTCCCACACTGACCACCGTAGCCTCACCGCCAGTCACGACCTCCCAGTCCACTCAGTCGTCAATAAAGTCGAAGAAGGCGAAATTGCTTTCATTTCTAGTGTCCACCACTATGCTACACCCTCTTCTCTCCCAATCACCCTTAGACATAATAATGTCGTACTCTCTGAATTTGAAGAATAGAGTATGAGATGTATTCACAGATAAACATATTACAGATTGTAAGGAGTTAGGAATATTACTCGATGGAGATGATTAGGGGACTTTGCTTCAGATCTTCATGAAGTCAATGGGTGACAGGTACACCCTTGTTCATCAATGCTCTTGAACTCATTCAATTTTCTTGAAAACATTATCAAAAGATTCAATAATACCTAAACCTAACTTACTATTGATCAATTCCCAAAATTTATGATCATTGTTTGTAAACATCTGAGCAGGACAATGATATTCATCGAGATAATTTTGAGGGTTGGGTGTATGTTGAAAGATGTTAAAGGCAAGGTGCATCATAAGGTATAGTATGGAGGATTTGGCAAGAGGAAATTATCTGAATTCTTCAAATAGAGAAAGAGAGAGAGAGAGAGAGAAAGAGAGAGAGAGAGAGAGAGAGAGAGAATTGAAGCTCTAGATTTAAAGGTGGGGTGTGTGTGTTTTTGATCTCGATAACATTAGTTTGGTTTTTGAAGCTAGGCAAAAAAAATCATAAGAACCTAATTTTTGGGGGACTCCTTGTGTATGTAATCTAGTAGCAAAGTAAAAAACAATCTGGGTTTTTTTCCTGGTCATATGATAGATGTGGAAGAATCAGAAGAGAAAGAGAAAAGGAAAGGGAAAGAGTCAGTTTTTGTGTGTGTGTGTGTGTGAGAGAGAGAGAGAGAGAGAGAGAGAGAGTATGGTGAGGATGGGTGGTTGTTCCAAATCTTTTTGTTTTTTTTTAAATTAAAATAGCATTAAAGTAATTATAGAAAAAGAAAAAAAAAACTAAAAGGGCATAATCGTCATTTCAAGTTTTTTTGGACCAAAAACACAGAAACATTTTGATTTTGAACCTTCCATGCAAGTTGAAAAACTTCTGGACCCTATCCAAAGGTTTTTAAATACCACAAGGACCAAATTCGTAGTTTTGTCTATACTCTACATACACTTCTTTAATACACTAAAAAGTAGTACAAGGCAAAACAGGGTCGAACCATAGAGATACAGGATAACCGGTCTATACTTTTTTGTACAGCATACTTTTGGTCACTAAAAGAAAAAAAAAAAAAAAAAGGTGTTTTTGTAAACAATAATTCAAGTAAATGATTAAAGAAACAAGAAAGAGATTAACTAGTTGAAATAAATTCAGAGTTTATGAAAGACTCCAACTTTAGGTATGATAACCTAGCAATGTGATTCAAATATGACATGAAATGTACTAAATTCTACCTAGGTTGGTACTTAAGAGTGTTAACAAGCTCTAACACTCTTCATTAACCACATTAATCAACCAAGATAAGCTTTTTGATTAACCCTAACCTCACTAAACTAACCTCAATAAGCTCTTAGAATTAGATTGAAAAATTGCATTGAGTTTTGTGTGAATGCTCCTAACAACACCCAATACTCTTCACAAGCCCAGGAGTGTAAGAGTGTGTGAATAAGATTTACACTAA